TACTGTTTTCCCATCGGCTTGGACCACAGCGAATGACGTGTGGTCCTTCGACTTTGACCCATCGGTGTAGTACATTTTCCATTCGTTCCGAAAAGGAACTCTGTATTCTTCAAAAAGGCSCTGGAATACTGTTGGGCTTGTGGCTTAACTGTTGCAACATGTCTGTGAAATRTAAAAWTGTCGCAAATAAATTYAACATYAKTTATGCTACGTAATTGAGAATGGATTGGARTCATGCTTAGCGTTCTGTGACCTTATACTATGGTATGTTATAAGTCATAAATTTACTTCCTTTCCTTACAACTTTTTGTTTCATGCCCGCCTATTTTCCTATATTAAAATCAAACTAACTAACACAAATCTATATTCATCTTAGTGATGTGTGAGGATAATTTTTATTATTAATAATATTTAATTCCATTCCATTTTTATTTCAGCAAAAAGGATGACATTTAACATTACATATWGGGTATAATAGGAAATGTGAATTATTATATTAGAGATATGGGTTTTAGACGAAGGTCTAAATTGATTKCAATCTTATTCAGCGCTAAGCCCCACTATGTTTAAGAATACACCCAATTTTTTAAAATAACACGTCTATTGATAAAAATAAATGCTATAAAATCAACTGGAAAATCGGATACATTCGGCAGTCTACTAGAAAAGCGATAATTATTTTACATAGTTGCTGATGCCATTTGTTGACTGACTATTTTGACCCATGCTGACCGCAAAAGACGTTAACTTTATTTTGATAAGAGATCTTACATATTAATCGATATAATTGACTGTATAAACCCAACCAGAGGTATGAAAATCCTAATACGTGGTATAGGTATAGGGTTTAATACATTTTGGTACAATGTACAGATATGCTGTTGATTGATTGGTTATAGTACTTTATAGTTTTTTGATTGACGGCATTTTGTGGGAATGTTAGCTGTCCGATTTAACTCACATGCAATACCACCTTCTCCGAATAAGAATAAAACTTAAAATGCTTGGTCACTATAATCAAATTTTTCTTCAACTTTCCCGTAACGTTTTTACTAACCAATCCAAGCAAGGTTAGACCCTTGAAATAACAGCCCTTGGCCGGTTGTTGTGCAAATTGTATCCGATCTTCACGGCAAGGAGGCTTAAAGTCACTTCTCCAGGACCACCCTACTTACGACAAAGGATGTACAGACTGGACCTCAAAATTTCCGCGACAGCACTTGGGGCAAATGCAAAGAGACGTTGTTGGYARCATACAATGCAATAATATGGTTACCTGGYTGTAGAAGCACGCAGATAAAAAAGATACAGCGCATACCGGCCTATAACAGGAAGTCTCCTGGTGTCTCCCRTCGAGTAAGGAGAGAACCAAAAAGCTGTAATGGAGCTTGTATACTTATCTCCAAGCAGGAGAAACATTAGGAGAACATTCATCCAGCCTGTCGGTGATCGCGAACAATATATCGTGCATTCTCTCCCAGTAAATATATACAATGAATCCCCGGCTGACACTAGCCAACTCTTTGCATGCCTAATGAAACCAAAACACTTAACACCTCTCTCTATACGATGCGACCCTGTCGAAACTACTCGTTTTCCAGGCCAGCTAACTTATTGCCTCTCCCTAAACGAGGTCCCTATTTGTTTAAGGTGTCACAAACAACCGTTAGAGGAATTAACATAATATACTCCGTTTCAACATGTAGCGAGCAAATAAAAACGTGCACATTTGGCATTGAACGCTTGGTAAAAAAACTATATATGTATATAGTATAAGTATTATTTCATTTATATATGCATATTCCGTAATATAATAAAAGTCAACAACATCGTTTTGTAAATACATTCGTATATTACTCGTCAAATAAATATGAGTTACTAAAGTAATTTATATTATGTTATCTTATTTTAGTATTTTGTTATTGTTGTAGTATAGGCTGTTTTCAGTTTTTATATGTATGTAATTACAGTGAACTCAAGAAATAACGTTTTCTGCTTAATGTATCACGAAGTGTCGTGAAATAGGGAAAATTAATGTACGSTATGAGAAACGCAGTTCGTCTACCCCCACCTTAATAACAGCCACCTCTGCCTGAAGACACTACAGAGGTCTGGTAGACTTAAGCTTAGATTGACGGCGAACTTCTTTCATAAAACTACTTCCCAACAATCTCTCCTATCTTCTACATATTCGTGAAAAAACTCCCTGCGCTTCTTYTCCAGCGACTTCACCCCCTCCACATATTCCACGTATGTTAGCAAAAACCGSCGTGTGTAGATTTTGCGACGCAGTCATGCAAATTATCAGGGATTCAGTTGAAAAACGAGAGSATTTCGACATCTCCTTGTTTGAACACCTTTATAAGCCCGTCCTACCTTGTCCTGAGAGCGCAGTTCGCAGCATCGCACCTGCCGGCAATTTCCACTGCGGCTAAGTGTAATATGGCATAAACTGCTACTGTTGGTGTAGTCCGCAGTGCACCGGAGATGCATATGAGTCCGCTCTTTGAACACGTGCAAGGTTACGCTAACTATCTTTCTGAGCGCGCTCCACGAGAAGAACAAACCGTAGAACATTAGAGGCTTGACTACTGTAAGCGGACAATGACCCGAAACATAAGAGCAGGATCTGTACAGACTTTATTAGAATAACCATTACAGTCAGTAAACGCCAAACCATTAAAAAAGTGTTTCACTTCTCATTAAWACTTACTAGCACAGCTAGTGACCACATTGCTAAGGATTACTTCATTATGTCGAAAATAGCATGATCACTGCAATGAGCAGAATTTGACTTCAAAAGGTTCAGAGCTGACTGGCTGGTAATGAGGGGTATGCTGAAAATTGAAAATTTGTAGAACACTCGAGGGAATAAATAACTAGAAAGCTGCCTAAAGTACTAACGCCATTTCACCAATGTTACTTGAGAATTGATCGCAAAAAGGGTTAACATTCTTAACTAAATTATATGAAAATGTCAACTCTAGACGAGTCCCTTAAAAGGTTTTACCGCTCGAAATTTATAACTGTCATATATTTATAAAAAGAAAAACTTCAAAACATATTAAATAATTGTGTTTTAATTACAAATATTATGCCAATAAGCCAACTTTGATAATAATTTCGCAAATAAACCATTCATTTATAATTTATTGCGCAAATACTAAATCAGTTATAATAACTACAGTTGTCTTTTGAAAATTAATTGAGTGCACGTTAAGTAAGCGATACGAACAGTTCGTGAGCCACTCTGGTGGAACTGAAGTGAATTYGACGATTAAAAGTATTTTTGTGAATTTTTTACATCTTCGAGATTTGGATTTATTGACAGAATGCTGGATAATAAGTTGATGATTTTTAGAAAACAATATCGCATGCAAATATTAAGCGCACTCACGGGTAAGTTTAGAGGATATAGCACTCGTATGTATTTTAGTGTACAGTAGCAAACTTAAATTGTATTGCTTATGCTTTCTAACTAGCAACAGTATACTTGTAGTACTTCATTATTAGCCTCATTTCAACCCTGGTGACTGCAAATTCGATGAGTTAGGTTGAGGGTGCTCCTTGCCATGCTCACATTKSAGTGAGCACGAGTTGAGTSTCCGTTATCATCTTGCGTTCTAGCRSGGAAAGTATAGATCTCAGCAGACGTTCGTTGGCAATCAGCTTCTGTGCGACTGCGAGTTCCTTTTGGCTTAAAGTCGAACGCAGGAATTCAACTGAACTACTAGCTCTTTGGCAATCTGGGGGACACAGCCGAAACTWACCATAACCAACTTAACTAATTTGTCAATGAATAATGTCTATTTATGAGAGTCTTATAAGCAATTATATTTRGAGTTTTAAGTTCCACAATTAATCAGCGTTCTAAGCTGTCCAAATGAAATGCCTGTTAGGATCGATCTCCTAATTTMGAGACTTTGTACGAAGCTGAGAAAAAAAAAACACTTACTTTGGTTTATCCACCGTAAGATCAACGAAGGATCTTTTCGGTCCCATGTAAATCGGAAAGGGTCTAGTGCGCTCTTCTCTAGCTCTAGCTGTGTCAACTCGTTGATGTCCAATAGGTGTGCAAGTGTTACATTCAACATGTCAGATCACATTCAGACATGCACTTGAGTTAGCTGTAATACAAAAGAATTCATAAGCATACTTGTGCTATGTWGAAAGTGATTTGTTGATACATAAGACTATGGGAGTTCCAAGTGCGAACTCTCTCCCTCGTGGGTCAATCACTGGACCTAAGCTATTAAGTATACTAGCGGAGTCGGCCACGCGTTGCTGAGGTATACATTTTATACAATACAGTGAAAATTTTATTTACGAATAAAGGCGAAAATGTTTCTGTCGCTATAAGAATCCAAAGGATTGTACTTCAGCTTTAATTTTGAATGTTTTTATGAAGATAAATTTCTTAGAAAAAATAACGAACTTTAGGCTGCTTTTTAAATATCTCGTTACCAGCCTTTGTGTCCAGTTAATAGAGTTGTCCGCTTAATAGATTGTGCCTAATAAAAATCGACAAATAGTGGGACTGGCCAATGTGAATGGTTAATGGAGATGTCCGCTTAATGTAACGTCCATTTAATAGAAATTTCGCTATATTTCTTTATTTATGAATTGTTTTGACTATCCCATCTTCTGAGTTGGTTCAAACTKAACAATGTGTACTAAATTTTACTAAAATCGGTTAAGTAGTTTASGAATCCATCGCGGACAAACAGGACAAACAACGTGACACGTAATTTGTATATATGAAGAAGATATGCAACTGTTTCTTATGCATTTCAGTTCAAATTATCATCTTCGCACATGGTTTTAGCACGGGATGTATGTCACCGATAGTAGAAATTATACAATCACCTAAAACACCGTTAAGTTTTTCTGTTACTCCTGAAGAGATTTCCTGGATTAGCTCGATGTTTGGTTTTGGCTTCTTAGCTGGCACCATTCTGTTTGCAGTAACTATAAATCGCTTTCGACGCAAATTTAATTTGTATATTCTGCCTCTTCCACATATGGTAAGCGAAATAAGATTCTTTATTAATTAATTAATAATTGTCCCATTATTCTTATTAGCTTTTCTGGATACTGGCCTACTTTGTTGAAAATATCGACTATCTATATGCAGGACGTTTCCTCGCTGGTGTCACTGGCGGCGGGCTGTTCCTGATCACACCGATTTTTCAGAGCGAAATTTTAAACAAAAAGTGAGTAATGAAATACAACAAAAATATTATTGAWGGGTGTGACTTTACGCTTAATGTAATCACTTTTGTTGCAGCATCCGGGGCGCTATTATGTCCTCGGGAATGTTGTTCCTCAGTGGTGGAATTGTAACGGGTTTTGTACTTCCATCTCTACTGAACTATCATGTAATACCTTGTATCGGGTTGCTTTTTCCAAGTGTGTTTCTAATAGCTCTATGTTTTTTTCCGGAAACACCACAAAGCCTTTTAAAAAGCAATAATATTCTAGAAGCCAAAGCAGCTTTTGACTTTTATAACGGCTTAGGAAGTGAGAAAAATTCGCTCAGCTATAGTTTGAAAGCGTCGGAAACGGTGCAAGGTGAATTTGAAAAGCTAAGTAGGAATATTTTGAACGGTGACTCCAGCCAACCTATCACTATAGATGACTTTCGTAAGTATTCCTGAAGCATACTAAATATAACAGAAATATCTGCAGGTCGTACTTTCTTATAGTCACAAAATCTGCACTCAAGGCGTTTGCTAACGGCGCTGTGCTGTCCATTCTTTATCAGTTGTCGGGCTGTTTCGCATCTCTCAACTATATGACTTCGATATTTAACGCATCTGGTTCGGTAATGGATCCATACTTCTGTACAAATATAGTTGGCATCACGCATATTATCGGTTGTTGTGTTGCCACACTATTAGTAGAGCATCTTGGTAGAAGAGCGGTGTTATTTTTGTCGACAATAGGCATGTCTGTCGGTATGTTTATCTTTGGCACCTTCATTCAGCTCGCAGACAACAAGACGTTGGAAGTGTATTATTGGGCGCCACTTGTCTTAATGATGATTGTGGTCTTCTTTACAGCAAGTGGACTTTTTGGTACTACTTCGGTTATTCTGGTTGAAATTATGCCGATCAAAGTGAGTAGTATAGTATATTAACAAACATATTAATTCGGATACGTTATATTAGCGAAGAATTAAGTTTTACTTTCGCTTAAAAATTTTCTCGGAATTTACTTTTAATAACTAAATAACTTTTAATGATTTTTCTTTTTTCTGCAGATTCGCACTCTAGTACTACCAATGGCAATGACTATATTCAGTTTGCTAGTATTCATTATGCTGAAAATATATCCATATTTCCTATTTGAACTGGGAGTCTCCACTACCATGTACAGCACAGCGACGGTATGTGTGGTTACCACCATATATTTGTACATATTTTTACCGGAAACGAAAGGAAAATCCATGGAAGCAGAATAGGAAATAATTTCCWTAAATTTTGTACATAGTCAACTATTTGCCTTGCACTAAATAGTATAGTTTTGTAGTTAATATGTTAGAAATATTTATTAAATATAATATTCATATATAAAAGAATTGTTCCAAAGTAAACAGGACTTTCTGAATCTACAGCCCCTGGTGGCGGTATCTATATGTCGTTAGAATCTGATATCCTTATCGATTGTCCAGTGAGAATTTCATGACATTTCATCGATTGAAAGTGGAGTTATTTGCGGTGCGAAAATGAGCTTCGAACAAAGATGAAGCTCTACTGTCCGTGTGGAAAACTTTTTTTTGACAAAGGTATCTTCAAGAAATTGGGTTTARATTATTGTCAAAGGCAACAGATCGCTCTTAACCCGTTGTCGTCTACATACATATGTCTTATTCGTCTGACAATGACAATCGGTTTTCTCTTGGAGATTTGTAAGTACCAGTAATGTACATATTTCCATATATGCAATTACATACAGTTTTTAGTACATCATGAATCGTTTTCACGGCAAATCTTCGAAGAAAGGTGGAATTGCTTTAATTTTAGAAGAAATTCCAACAGATAACGAATGAAAAACGGATATGGCGTCTGATGCTAAAGAAGACCAAGTTATAATTTCAGAAGCAATGGAGATCACGTTTTGAATGATGTTCTAAATGAAATCATGACGAAAAAAATAGCAAAGCTGGAAAATTCTCAAAACGCGGTTCTCCGCCGTGATTTCACAGTTTGACTCATTAGTAGGGCCAATGGATGTTTTATTATAATTATTATTATTTTTTTTTTTTCTTTTGAAATTATGGACTCATCGACGCAATTTTTCTTATTGTACATCTTAAATTGTTTCGTTGTTTTTGATTCAATAAGCAAAACACTTTCCTTACATAGTGTCACCGAAGGAGGGAGAGTTAGTTGAGCATCGACCACACTCCGAGGCGGACATTTAACAGCAGCAGCGGCCACTCTTTTTATGTTTTTTTAAATTATCATTAAAATACAATTATCATTAAAATACATTATAAGCGTTCGTTTGTGAATTCGGGGAAAAACTGTCGGTTACAATAGGTAGGTATCTGGTACTGGTACTGAGGGATCATTTTATTAAAAACACTCTATTCTCAATTTTTTTCTGTAGTAAAAATATTACAACTTTTGTACAATTTATACGAGGTGTGTTAAAAAAAAATAACGAAAATTTAAAAATTTTCTGGTTTCGAAAGTTCAATTTAGCTGCGTTTTGGATTAAACAGAGGCGTCAAGTTTCAACGTCATATCAAATTGATATAAATGAATTTAACGACGACCAGAAGTGCTGAAGTGTATAACATGCGACGAAACATCTCTTTACCGATTCATTATTGAATTTGAAGTATATRCAATGCTAATTAATCATAAGTGAATAGTTCTCGCGACATTTCAYATTTGCCGAATATATTAACAAGCAACAAACGCACAAATTTAAGGAGTTCCAATTTAACTTCTTCTTTGAAAAGCTAAACTTTTCTCACCAATTAAGCCTATGGGCAGACTAGATTACTGTCAAGTTTATTGAGATTATTATTTGCATAGAGGCATTAAAACTAGCAAACACTATTACAAACTATCTAATCATCACTATAATTCACACTCTAAAGCAAACAAGATGGAGACGYCCGATGTTATTTATAATTTCAATGATAAACCGCGTTGGCTGAAAATCGTGTTGGTGACAAGGTCGTCTGATAATGCGAGAATTGATTAGTTAAGTGATAACCGGTGACACGCGCACGTCGTCGCATTTTGCGAATCAGTGGGAAATTTTTCAATAAATTTTGTGATACTGTGAGGCTTTCTATTTAAGCCTGAAATATTTTTATCTTTGTGTCGAGAATTAAAACAAAAAAAAAAAAAAAAAAATGTTGACAGCGAAGTTACCAATGCTTGGTAAACGGCATCGCATGCAGGTGCTGGTAGCGCTTACGTGTGAGTAAATATGAATATGAATACCTTAAATGCAATAAAAATGTGTAATGTTCTAACATGTGAAATGAACTGAATCGAAAAGTTTACGAGTTCTTAAAATCTGTTAGGCATTATGAGAGAATTGTCCTTTTCTTTCATTGTTGCTCTTGTAGTGGTAGAAAAGATTTCATAATTTATTTGAGGTGTGCTGTCCGGTTGACAGTRCATGGTAGCATAGAATTCCAGCTCCGTTCAGTTAACATAAATCCGACTGTCGCGGAAACGCATTTCACTATGGTTTTCAGAGGTCACATACATAATTTATAAGAGCGGAATACTACATCCTATAACATCATAAAATTTCTTTCGGAGCTTTCATCCATGATAACATTGATGAGAAATTTCTTGTAGTGCTGAAAAGAAAACTATGCATAGAATTTGGAATTTGCTGTTATTGTTTAAAAAATTATATAAAAATGTCCAGCGGAKTAACACAAATTTTAAGCGGTATATGAAGTAAATTATTTACGATATATTCTCGAGATCGTTATGTCTCGGAAATATGCTGTTCGATATCAGTGATTCTGTAAAGTAAATAAGAGTGTTTGTACAGTGTTTTCGGAGAAGTGGGAAAGTAGAGTAACCATATGAAAATACTGATATTCAAAGGGAGSTGATATTTTAGAGAAAAATGTCTTACATTGACAGCAAGAGAGAGAGCTTTCATTAAAWTATTTAGTATCGCTAAAGACTGCTTCTTGTTTGTTATCACTTACAGATCACATTATGAATTTTGCTCATGGACTTGGTATCGGCTGGGTGTCACCCACGGTGCAAATAATACAATCGCCTGAGACACCGTTAAGCTTTCCCGTAACCGTAGAGCAGGTATCATGGATTGGATCACTCTTCGGTTTCGGCTTTTTGAGTGGAAATATTCTATTTGGCCTCACTGCCAATCGCTTAAGTCGGAAACTGAATATGTATTTATTGGCGCTGCCACATATGGTGATTAAGAATATCAGTTACGTAATTAGTCGTTTGTAATATGTTTGTTTCCAGCTATTTTGGATCTTAAACTATTTTGTACAAAACGTTGAGTATCTCTATGCAGGCCGCTTCTTTGCCGGTGTCACCAGCGGCGGCTTGTTCGTTATTGCGCCAATGTTTCTTAGCGAAATTCTAGACAAAGAGTGAGTGTGTCCATTTTCCATTTTGAAATGTGAAAATAAATGTTTGACTTCTTTTCGAAATTTGTACAGTGTTCGTGGCACACTCATGTCTATGGGTATGTTGTTTCTCAGCTGCGGTGTACTGATCGGCTTCATACTACCCACAAAAGTTGACTACTATATAACACCGTGTATTGGGCTGGCGCTGCCCATAATTTATGTTGTGGTGTTTTGCTTCTTCCCGGAAACACCACAAAGCCTCCTGAGAAGTGGTCGCTTTACCGAAGCGGAAGCCGCTTTCAATTTCTACAAAGGCTTTGATAATGGTGTTGACGTGCAGTTGAGTCGGAGAGTTGAGGAGTCGAAAACAGCAACGGAAGTACAAAGCGAATTTGAAGAGTTGAAAACGATCATTTTGACAGGAAACGCTAACGTGACTGTAAAATTRCAAGACTTTTGTAGGTATTCCCTGAAGTGTTTATGCATTTGAAAGGCTTTTGCATTTAATTTGCTTTTCTTACAGTTGAAAGGTCAGCACTCAAAGCATTTGCCGACACATTTGTGCTCTGCATACTGTATCAACTTTCAGGCAGCTTCGCCTTCCTCAACTACATGACTTCAATATTTGCCGCTTCGGGCTCCACAATGGATCCATATTTCTCTACCACAATTGTGGGCGTAACGCATATATGCGGCACGTTCGTCGCCACTGTTTTTGTGGATCGATTTGGTAGGAGAGCTCTGTTGTTTTCTTCCACGACCGCCATGATTATTGGCATGTTCGGATTCGGCGCTTTTGTACAGTTTACCGATGCGGCCATAAAAGCTCAGTATGATTGGGCACCACTTGCTTTCATGGTTGCTGTGGTTTTCACTTCGGCGTATGGACTTTTTGGAAACTTCTTCACCATAGTGGTGGAAATATTGCCGGCAAAGGTATTTTAATATTGTAGTATAAGACTCTTTATTACTCATTAGTAATTTAAAGCTACATTTTATCATGAAATATGTGTGTAGAATATATTATATTGGTCTTACGGTTGAATTTCGAACAACTTTGATATTTATTTATATTTTCCTGTTTCAGATCCGTAGCCCGGCCTTATCGATTTCGATGTGTTTTGTGAGCCTTTTAGTGTTCGTGATTCTGAAGTTATACCCTTATTTCCTGTTCGAATTGGGCATTCCAGCTACTATGTACACTTCTGGGACAATATCTGTTGTTACCACCATATATTTGTTTATATTTCTGCCGGAAACAAAGGGAAAATCAATGGAAAAGGACTAAAAAATAGTGTATACATTAAAGTACTCAATCATAATTAAATAATTAAACAGTATTAAAAATTTGAAAGGTTAAATGCATTTTGTGTAATGGATTTCTGATAACAAAGAATATAAAAGTTATTTAATAACTTTTTATTTTCAATGTATATCACATAATTGTACTCAGTCCTGCTTTCAGTTCTGTTACAACTATTCGCTTAATACTACAGATATTTAAAGCGTGATATACAAAAATTTATTTGAAATAGTCTCCTTTCACATATCTCCTCACACGATTTGGTTATTAATGGAATCAAAGAATATTTAAGAGTCTCCAATATTTTGTGAGGTATAYAGGCCAAGTTTTCCAACTCTGACCATAAACTACAATAAAATATATTTAAATTCGTACTTCCAGTCGGCCAATCATCTGCGGTTATGCAACCAGGAATATGGCTTATAAATCACTGCTGAAGGAAATATTGCTTAACTGCCTTACAAAGCTTTCTAAAACGTTCTACAATATGTGAGTTATCTTAATGATAGTAAGAAAGTGTATTTTACTTATAACTTCGTATCTTTGAAATTAATCAAAAGAAATACCGTTTATTCATTTCGGACCATCATACAGGCTCTGGTTCTACTTGCATCTTTGTTCGCCAGTAGCTTATGACAATTCGTCCTCAATCCAGAGATGCCGTAACTAGTCAGCCAGAATTCATGAATCACATCGGCTGTGTCTTGATTTAGACGTAGCAGTAAATTAGCAATATTATCCTTCAGACTCTCCATCAYGAATGCTAGTTCAGCGCTCTCTATGTGTTCAACCCACACCTCGTCAAACAACTGTTCAAGACTGAAGACGGAGTCGCTAATTGACGAACCGCCCACTGATTTCCGTATTTGAAGCCTGAACGCCATCAGCTTTGGCATCCGTCGGAAGGATCCTAATGATCACCTTTTCCAACCCATAGCTTCGCTGAGAGAACCGAGGGACGCCGCAYTTTGCATCCAGTCATCTAGGGGTAATGAGGGTTTGCGGTATCTAAGAATTTCCTCAATCTCACTCACTGAGAAAGGTGCAACTGGCAGACAGACGCAAGCTCTAAGGCGAAACTGAAGATTCGTTTCGTCCATAGCCTCCAATCTGKCTCCCTTCCATACCTCCCYCACCCAATAAACTGCCTTCATATACAAAACAGCCGATCATGCATCCRTTCATCGTTCGCACTAGTTMTCAGAAGATAYATGACSACTACGCTTATCACCGTACCGTTTCACGATTTTGGCAACCAAGCGGCGGTCTGCTTTCAGCTTTCTTATCTTTCTTTTCTTATTATATCATATATGCAGATTTTATTTATTATATTTATTCATTTCAAACGTTCACATAGAATAACTTATTTAAAAATATTTGAATTCAGTTTGTTCACATATAACAACTTATTTTAATATAAAAACGTATTTAAATGTAATTTGATTAACTTATCGGGCCGACGCCGCTGGTCCGCCCTTCCTGACTTCTTCAGAACTACTGTGTCACTCAACTGTGCTCGACTACACAGTTCGAATATTGCTCAAGTGTTGTTCGAATTAAGTGTAGTTTTTGGTCAGAGGTGCATTTAAAAGGCACATCCGTTACGTGTAGACCTTTGACCCACAGCTTCCACTCCCACATATACAATAGGTAGAAAAAGTAAGTTATTAAAGTGAAATACAAAACAGAGAAATGAATACAATTTTAAAGTTGAGACCATATTTCAAAGTATCTAATGAAAGTAATTAAAAAAAAAAAAGAAGTTTATTGCTTTTATAAGATTGAAATATGAACACATGCAGTTTGCAGAAAAATCAGTTATCAAATTGTTTATTATCAACAATATCTACAATTTCGTGTAACTAGTTGACCTAATCGTTGTTGCCTGGAGTTGACAAGCTTCAAGCAAACATTTTTAGGAAAATTATTCCAAATGCTCTAGATGCAGTCTTTCAAATCAGSCAGGTTTCGGGGTTTCYYTKCAGCTGTACGCATCTTAAGGATTGCCCAAGTATTTTCAATTRGTGACAAGTTAGGTCTTTGAGGWGGCCATTTCAATACACTCACATTTTTATTTTTTAGATGTTCTGTGATGACTTTTGCAGTATGAATGCGCCCGTTGTACTGTTGTCGAAGGAAATCCGGTACAATTTGTCGGTGACACTCGGGGATGGCGTGTTCATTTAAAATATTTAAATAAACTACAGATATAACTTTTCCTTGCAGGTTTACAATATTGTGCCAAACTATAACGTTGGAATAACAAGGTCTAATCCTTGATTCATCAGTTCAGAGCACTTTATGCCAAAAATTTTGAGATTTTAATATGTGCTCTTCATAAAATATTTGTTTCAATTTTTGGGTTCATTTAGGTAGGGTTACTTTCTTGCAACGCGGCCGTGTGTTTTGAAAACGACACCATGGATAAGCCGGCGGAAGACCTGTGACGACGAATACCGATCAAATCACGGAAAGCATCGAGTTAGATCGGCATGTGGCATCTCGTAACATCACCCAGAAGATAGGTGTTAGTCACCAAACCATTTTAAACCATCTGCAGAAGGCTGGATACATAAAAAAGCTTGACGTTTGAGTGCCGCATGATTTGACGCAAAAAGACCTTCTGGACCCGTTTCTGTCCATGGCGAACGCCATTGTTGGTGTAAAGTTGAACTCAAAAGAGGCTTGTGAAAAGTGGCTGTCCGAGTTCTTCGCAAATAAGGAGGGAGTATAATGAAGTTGCCGTCAAGATGGAAATAGATTATCRAACGAAACGACGCATACTCGAAGTAAATCCGATCATAGTAACACTTTTCATAAAGCATTAAATAAAGAACAAAAAAGCGGAAGGGAGATATTTGACAACSTGATATAACGCTGCSTGTGATAATCTTTAAACCAACTAAAATCCACCATTTTGAGAATTTTATTAAATTCATTTTAAAAAATTGCCTCAGTATTTAAAAAAATTAAGGGGTCAGTAATGTAATCTTTTTTATTTTTTTGGATTATCTGTTCCCTTATACCCTTAGAATTAATGTAGTTACCAGTGGAAGGTTTGGAAAAAGGCCCAAAAATAATCAAAACACACTGTTTTACACTAGCGGACATGATTTTTTTTTGATGTTCACAAAACGCCTGGCTATCGTCCCTATATTTTTTTTATAATTTATTGACAATGTTATGACAAAATTTATGTAAAAAAAAAATTAAACAAAAAACGTTAATTTATTTTTTTATTTATCAACATTTTTTCTTGATTCTAGTAGGGACGATAATCATTCACGTACTTTTTAAGAATAAATTTGGTTTTTGTGTTTCAGATWATCCAAACACGAGAAATCGTGTCCGCCAGTGAAAAAACGTATCTCATTCACHCAGCCATTTCTCCGACAGAAATTCCGAAAAAATGTGTTTATACACTCCACGAGTTTTATTGTAGAATAAAAATTTTTATGAAGAAAAATGTCAAAAACCAGGTATGATTACCCTACTGATCCCTTAAATAAAAATAAAAAATAACGCTTTACTTACCAATTCAATTTGAAAATTTATGAAATAAAAAATTCTTGCACTGTTAATGAATTTTTCTAATTTATTTTGAAGTTTTAATATGAAAAGTATTAATTACTGCACTTGATAACTTACTTTTTCCACGCTTAGTCACTGAGTATACTTATAGAATTTCTTACCAGACACCCGATCGCCACTAAAATCATCAAACGCGATACTTTGATAACGGTATTTTCCGAACATATATAAAAATAATTTTATTCGTTAAAGAAAAAAGTATAGAGCATTTAAAACGGCGCTGGCTGTTTTGATAACTTACTTTTTCTATCCACTGTATGTAAAYAAGTTCGAAATTTATATCACAAGCACTTACAAATACCCATTTCTATCAGCATTGTAACAAATGTTCATTTCGGGTATATTGATTAGAGATTGCAGTATTTAATGTATGCAATGTAAAGGATCGGGAAGAAGGAAACACTTATGTTTAAGATATGTGTATATATATATACTCTGCATGTGGTGCATACATGAATTAAGATAACAAAATCTWTAAATAAAGAGCTCTGGGCAACTAGAGTTGAGTACTATTTTAAATCCGAAACCTTCGCGTTGTTAATTAAACAATATATTCTTGTAAGTATATTAATCTAAAGACCACACTGTGGAAACAAATGAAAAATAAATAATTGTTATCTTAATTCGTTTCGTAAATATTTTGCTGTCGTCATAACATTCACCTGCAGACTAAATCTTGAACTTGGTAACYAAGGTTTCTTAGTTACCTTTATAAACAAAACTGTGATTGTGTGCTTTCTTAGAAATAAATAGAACGACTTTCATATAAGCTCGTAATTTACAAACACTGTGTACATATTTAACAACGCCCCTAAATTTTTGCAACAAAATTGTGAGAACCTAAAAGTGAAAGTGCCAACGAAACCGATGTCACTGATAAAAAAAGGGCAGACTGTCATAAATCATTTGTATTATAACAGAAACAGAAAAGTCGTAGTAAAACAGTAAGAGTTAGTTTTTTTTCTTGCATTTCGCTCGTAGATTATCTCATATACACCTTTTATCTAATCACAAAAATTATTTATTTTTGTTTTAAATAAATATTTTCYAATTTTTATTTTATATTTTTAAAGTAAATAAATAAAATAATTTAGCGCAAAATACCATTTCTAATATTATATTTTTATATTTGTGGCAGTTGTGCGATTTTGCTGCTRGTGAGCGCGTACATGGCGGCGAAAGTGCCATAGCAGAGCGCAAAGGACAAGCGGAGCAATAAGCTGAATGAAGGCAGTCTGGAGAAGCTTCTCCAAACAAAAGTGAAAATTCACCGAAAAATTTATGACATAATTTTGTATAAAATACATATTAGTTAATAGTTAGAAGAAAAGTACAAAAGCAAAAATGGTGAGGAAGCAAGGACTAACAATTTTTAGCAAACGTTATCGCATGCAGATTTTGGTAACACTTGCAGGTGAGCCCGAATAAAAATAAAAGTTAAAAGATTAAGGACATATAATAATAAAAAGTGCTTAGATGAAAAATCGATAACTACTCATCATACAATTCACATAAAGTTATTGTTATTGTTACTGGGTAACGAAATGAAGTGCTTACGCTAATAATTATGGCAGAAAAAAATAAAATATTGTTTAGGGTTTAGTTACGCATAGTTTATACTGTTATGAACTATTTTACACTTTAGTACTTGGATGTCATAAGGGGGACAGCGTTCCGCTGGAGAGCTTATAATCAACCATCAGGAATGCGTGTTAAATAACTTTGAACTCGTCACGAGTAAAATCTTAATGAGGAAATATTTTGTATAATGATATTCCACATGGACTCAAAAGCTTTTGGTTTGGKGTGTGAACAATGGCTTGTGGTTTACCATCAGAGCAAATGCGGCACTTTCGTTTATTACCTATTCAAGCAAACCATTCGCTGAAAAAAATTGTGAAAATCGGTATCGCTGATCATTTCGTTGCGGGACCAGGCATCGAACAGGCGTCGTGCTTAGCCACGATTTTGGTACGATGTGCAAACGTTGTTTCAGAGCAAGGCATTATGAAACCAAACCGAGTATAAGTCTAGTAACTATAACCAACTCCGGAAAAAGTATTACCTCTTTAAAAATACACATCTAAGAAAATAATCATTATTTATTCCTCAACACAATCGATTTCGGTGAAATCGTATACGGATATCATGGGATCCGACCGATTTCGACGTAATTTAGTACGTGGCATTCTTCTCATATTCCTATGTGACGTTGTCGAAATTCCATTTGATTCTTTCACTTTCCAGTGTACAAATAAAAAAAGTAATATAACAGGATAAAAATTTTCACTAATAACTCTTTTTAAATATGCCACCTTATTATTAAAAATTTCCAAAATTCAAGCTAAACTGTTTAAGCTCCTAGGTACCGAATATGTGGACCGTAGTATCTATAGTTTACTTTTAACCGCAAATATCGGAAAATGTGTGAGATATAAAATTGAAATTCAGGAAGAATCTTTTTCTGACAATGTTAACTCTKTGTATCAAAAATAGGTTGAATCCGGTCATTACTTCCCTGAACACCATATACCTACTATAAAGATTTMCGAACTTCCAGGTGAATTTATACTGGATTTATCGGCCAATATTTGAGTTATCTCATTCAAATTACAGAAAGTGTTTTTCTCATAACATTTTATCTTTGTGGCTACAATATATAAAATGAGTCGAAAACTTGAATTAACCCCCATAGAACTAATATCAGGATATTCGCATATTTTCACTCCATGTGATTGATATTTTTATGTTAAGTACCTTAATGAAATCAAGGGAAAATTTTTTTTAGTATAAGACATGATAATAGTTAATATATAAAATGGGGTCGATACTACCCCAACTGTCATTGACTAATACAAATGAGCCTAAATAAATGAATTAATAATGTCGTACGAGGCATTAGGATGGAATGTGTTCTTAAAAATACATATGCTGGACTCTCATTTGGATTTCTTTTCGGAAAATTTGGATGCTGGATGATAAACAAAGCAAAAGGTTTCAGGATACTTGCTTCATGAAGAAGCGCTATCAAAACAAATTGAAGACAGGATACTCACAAATTGTTATTGTGGTGACTTAAAGCTTCCAAATGCTAAATATTCACGATAATCACAAGATACTGTTTGGCGACCACAGACATATAAAATTTTATATAAAATAATAGTAAACATTTTGTTAACCAGTGTTTTCCATTTTTATTACTAGTCTTGGTTAAATTGTATATAAAATTTTTTGATGCTTAGTGTACTGCATGTAACAGCTATGTAATATCTATTGTGTTATGAAATATTTCAATAAAATTAGCATTTCATTTCATCAGCTCACATAATGACGCTTTCCCATGGCATTGGTCTTGGCTGGCTCTCGCCAACACTCTTAATATTGCAATCCCCTCGAAGCCCTTTAGAATTCAAAGTTGCCGTTGAAGATGTGTCCTGGATTGGTTCGATTTTCGGTTTGGGTTCACTTAGCAGTAACATATTCTTTGGCCTCTTAGCGGCTCGCATCTCAAGGAAGACAAATATGTTTCTTTTGGCCATACCACATATGGTGAGTGCAAATTTAATTATTTCTATTTTGTATTTAAGAAAGGAATACGACTTTCATAATCATAAGTATAACCTTATTTAGTGGTTTTTGTGTTTTAAAATCCCAAACGTATGTAATTGTAAAGCACCAATAGTTAAGTAAAAGTTGGAGCGTCTTTCGGAGGATAAAATATACAAAACTAGAGTTTGAAAATTAATATAAACAAAACATAAAGACAAAGACGAACTTTTTTGTCAAAACAAAAAAAAAAAAAGGTCTTTGTGATCATTTGCCATATCCTAACCATCTCTGGTGATAGGTAAATTAATATTCACATTTATTTTTCTCTTTCCTTCGACTACTACTTGTCACATCAAAACTAATTGAAACAGGAATAGAATAATGAATATGGGCACATGATCAATCGAAAATTCAATTCTTTGTGTATACTATAAGTTTAGTAGTGCCCCGCTTCATACTCAAAACATTAACCTAAATCCGTTGAGTAGACTTAAAAGAGATATTACTGACCTCTGTTAAATGCAACACGATGACCGTTCTTTAATTTTTCGGTGCTTAAATTGTCATTAACAGAGATGTATGGACGAATTGTGTGCGAGAAATTTTCGATGACTCCATATCCTTTACTGAATGCTTRGTATCACTTAAATACTCGTTGGTGATAATGTAGACTTCCAAAACACTTTTGCCGTAGCCGTATTTCATTATAAACACAAAATTTCTGTATCTCAAACTGGCTCTTATTGAAATAAATAAAGAATATTCTGCAACATAACAGTTTTACAATTTATTTTTGTTTCATGAATAGCTCTTTTGGATCCTAAACTATTTCGCACAAAGTGTCGAGTATWTCTACGCATCGCGTTTTTTTGCGGGGCTAACCAGCGGCGGACTCTATGTCATTGGCCCTGTCTTTATTAGYGAGATTTCAGCTAAAGAGTAAGTACTTAGTAAACAAATATGTATATGTATATGTTCGTATGTTTATAAAAATAAGCCATACATATGTATGTAYGTATGTACATAGACATACTTTATAGTTTTGTGTGAATACATACATATGTATGTGGTGTATTTGCTTATTCACTGCACTGAGAACAGCTGTTCGCCTATACTTTTACGCTCAACTCTTATCTAATTTTATAAAGCTTTATAATTGCTGAACCATAACATAAAATCATAAAAAATAATGAACATACATATATTTTTCTCTTTATCATTTCTAAGAATACGCGGCGCACTCACGTCGTTGGCAATGATGTTCTACAGTTGCGGCATTCTAATTGGTTTCATACTGCCCTCTTACCTCAATTATCATCTTATACCATGCATCATCATTTTCCTATCCATAATATAYTTGGCTGTATTGTCGCTTTTTCCGGATACACCCGGGAGTCTCTTGCAACGAGGTCAACTGGAAGAAGCAGAGAAAGCTTTCAATTTCTATAATAACATTGATAGAAAGGCTATTATAAGGGAATTGTGCGTCAATGAGCTGCAAACGTCGACAGCGAAAAGTGATTTTGAGGAGCTCAAGGCGTCGAAATTAGAAGGAGGGAAAGCCACGTCTATCACTTTGCAAGACTTTTGTGAGTTGTGATGTTTTTTATTTATATTTTCTACATTCTTTTTTATTCGTTACTTTTTCTCTATTAYGAAGACGGAGTTTCGTTAATTGTTGAGCCAACGACCTAAACTTTTGAACATTCTAATTTAGTTTATTATTTTAAACGGAAGCAAACTGTGCAATAAAAGATGTTCACGAACGTATATAAAGAAATCCACTTACAAACAGAAATTATGCCAAGAAAAGTAGGGTAGATCGAACATAACAATGTCAAAACTTATTCGAGAGGATCCCTACATRAAAGTCTACCATAGGTCGCTGGTCGCTGGTCTTCTGACAACACGATTAAAGTAAATTAGACCCAACACATGCGGCTTCTACAGTGGCACACGGTCAACGGCCATGAAAGTATAATTTTTACAAAAGGCAAGTTTGTGCACTACTTAGGAAGTTTTTAATAAGCAAAACGACAAAATCTAGGCACATACTTTCAAAGTCGCAAAAAAATATTTTTCTAAGAATTCGACGTGGTCACCTTCCAGCTTCTGTAATGGTTATGGTTTTGCGGGAGTCTGCTGTAAAGGCGTTACACAGATTGTTCTATGAAAAGGGGTTAAAACTGGGAAAAAATGTACAAGCAGGAAGTTTTAAAAAGTGTTTTTCTTTATAGCAGATTGAACTTTTGAAAGAACTTATGACAAAACTAAGTATATACTAGAGAGATAGATATATTTTTTGAGCATGGTATCGCAATGATTCAAAATCTCAACTTAGACTTTACACAAACATGATGGCGAAGAATGCCATCCTCCTTTTTGTAAATGGTGAGCACAAGGAGCCAAGTTTATTTAGATAGGAAATGACTGGTTCAAAAGCCACTTATATTTTCAGAAATTCCCAGTCCAGTTTTCTTATCTCCTCTGGTTTGTTAACAGTCCAGCTCCTGCCAGTCGATTGAACTCCACTTCTTCTCTCTCATGTCATACGGAATCTGCTTTCTATTGCATCAAGTCAAATTTGTTACTTTTTTAACTTATATATATATATACATTTATATATTTGTATGCAAATATAAACATATTTTCTTTTATTACATTAAAATTTCTTATTTTTTCCAGGCAACAAGTCAGCTTTAAAGAAATTCGCGATCGCTTTTGTACTCTGCTTACAAAATCAGTTTTCGAGCAGTTTCGCTTTCGTAAATTATATGTCGCATATATTTGCYGAATCCGGTTCGACATTAAATCCACAGGACTGTACTATCTTTGTGGGTATGGTGCAGATATTGTGCACACTATTGGCTTCCATTTTGGTTGAAAAGTTTGGTCGTAAAACACTAATGTTGACCTCGACCGCTGGTATGGCGCTTGGCATGTTCGGCTTTGGTGCGTTCGTACAATTCACGGATGACGCAACAAAAGCCGAATACAATTGGGTTCCACTGGTGGCGGTTGCTTTTGTCACCGCAACAGCCTCTTTTGGCGTAATCTCGTTGACCTTTACGATTATTGTGGAAATACTGCCGGCAAAGGTTAGTCTGAGATGTGGAAGAAGGATTATTTAAAAGAAAATTATTCATTATTTTTAATTGTTTCAGATTCGCGCTCAGGCTCAGTCGATTGCAATGATGTTTTGCAGCATTATGGTCTTCATCACGCTGAAGTTGTATCCATATTTTCTCTTCAATCTGGGCATACCGATCACAATGTATTCGTGCGCCAGCTCGTGTGTGATCACCGGAATTTACTTGCTTATATTTCTGCCAGAAACGAAGGGCAAATCAATGGCGAACGATTGACAAACTAATTAACTCATTAATTAATTAATTGTTACGGAAGTTGGTTGAATACGAAATAGGGACATTTAATATTTAAATATAAGTCGCTTGGTAGCGAAAAATCCACATCATGTAGTTAGAAAATGCATCGCGTGCTTAATAACCCAAAAACTAATATTAATAATTTGGAATAACCGAAATACAGGTGAAACTGTCAGGGATGTGGTTGAATGCTGGACTACAGTCAACAGAATATATGTGAGAGGAAAAACATGCGTTTGCTCCCATAAAAGCATGTTCTACTGATTGAGCGCCCAGCAGCATTGCCAAAATGAATTAGTAGAACGGCGATAAAAAACCGGCAATTTCCAGATTATTTTTAAGTATTATAACTAACACAATAAAATTAAGTGAAATAAGTGTGTAAACAGTTCTTCGACACATTTCACATCGATCATGAAGTCGATTTACACAGAGAGAGTATAAAAATAAACTTTCAAATTTATGGCCTAAATAAAACGCTCATTAATTTGTTTTTGATTTTGACTTAAATACAGTAAAGGAGAACAAAAGCGCTTCAAACTGGTTCTGCTCGCTTTTTTTGTTGTTGGGTTTTGGCGCCAACACGCTGCTAATTGTGGAAACGATTTCGAGAGAAAACATGTGGTAAACCAAGGTTGATAAAAAAAACAATAGGTCCTGTAATGAAGTTAGTTGTGACTTAGCTGAAATCGCAAATCACGTTTAGATAATATTTCAATTGCTATTCAATATTATTAAACCAACGATTCCTATGTATCCATCCATGAAGGGGACCCAATCATAGCTGTACTGGTGCGACAAATTCTAGTACCAAATAATTTCCATGGTTGGTCGAAGCTATTGTATGTGAACGCTGCACCTAATGAAGGCGGCTAGGAACTAAGGCAAAATTGAAGTACTGCCTGAGTACAAAATAAAAGTTAGAAGACAATGCTCATTTGCAACGTATTTGAACCCACCCTTCATATAACGTCATTTTAGTATAGTTTTAAAAAAGGACAAATATGGATTATTAAATCCATATAAGTCCATCTATTATTAAAAATTTCGAAATTATTATAAATCTAGTCAAAATGAGTGAAATCGTTTTGGGTCATTCCACTTTCCTTATTCACACTTTAAATTTCGTAAGATTCTTTCACCTTACAGTATTCACACAAAAATCAAACACTAATGAAATAGGGACTTTCAATTATGCCATGTTATGTCGAAATCGAACCATAACTTTTCAAAGCCCCCGATACCATAAATATGTATAAAACTCGAAATTGAGAGAGATACTTTTTCTCATAACAGTGTGATTTAACGGTGACTTTTTATTACTCATTTTAATATAAATATTAATAGATACATACATATCTTAATGAGACAGTAAATTTGATTGTAATCCATTAGGTTTTTTCCAATAATGAATATTAATTTATTAGAAATATAAAGCTTCCCCGGATTTATCCTTGAAATTACGTTTGATTCCAGCCAAACTTACGAGTGGCTCGGTCTTAGGTCATCTACTAAGAAACTTGATGTGCGACGGGGTGCTAAGAATACATCACCCAAAAAATATGAAAACAATCGCATATGCGGATGACATCTATGTAGATGACCTCCAGCTCAAGTGCAATGATTGCATAAATGATCTGCGCCAATAGCTTACAACAATGACTTTAAAGTAAAGCAAAAAACGGCAGTCATGCTCATAAGCACCAGGAAGGTGGAAAAAAGGGTAACATTCACCATAGAGATTTCTTCTTAGCCGCAACTGAAGTTTTTGGGAGTAATATTGGATATTCAAGTTAAAATTTAAGGAAGGCGTATACTTTCGGCAAAGCAAACAAAATATATAATGAGTTTTTAGTGGGTTAGGTTTAGCAGATTAAAGTTCCATTCTCCGGCTTTTGATGCCTCCCCTTACTATAATAAATAAAAGACCGAACTTATCCCTTCCTTGCTTATTTTAATTGACTTTTGGTCAAACATTCATTTATTGCAATCTTACCGAAACCAGCTCGAATTAATTGATATTTACATATATACCATCTGTCCCTTCATTTAGTTATTCGAATTACTTATGGATGTATAAACAGTATGTGAATATAGGTTTATTTCAATGAAAGACTTATCATTCACTGAACTCTCTACAAACGTTTTTTCTATTCGCTGAAGTTTTTATGAGCTCTTTCAAAGCTAATTTAGATTAGAATGGGCACATTTTATTTACATTTAGTTAAAAATATTATTTTTTTAAACATGTGCATAAATTGTTTATCTGCGTATTGCACAAAAGTTTGTAGATTTACGGCGATATTTTGGTTAGGAAATCTAAAGTTTCAAAGAATATTGTCATTCATAACTTTAAATTTTGCTGTTAGGAGATTTCATGGGAGTCTACCGTTCAACATTGAAAATTATACCTAAGTTTGGTTGTAACATTTCAAAGTTATGCAAATTACGACGTTCCAGAAACATCAAATTGTGTTTTAAATAGCGTTTTATCTTTGGCAGATATCCTTAAACCGTATTTCTGCATAAAATATCATAGACTCCTTTAGAAGTTTAAAGTTGTATCTATTTGTCAGTTAATATTAAGTTGCATACTATGAAAAAGAGATAGACCCTTCGGAAGTACCGCCTATCAGGCCACGTGGGTGTAGCGCATCAAATTTAAATGCGTTTTTCTCAAAACTCTTATTTTGAAGTCGGTGGACACGATTTCTCGAAAACTTATGAACCGATTTAGTTTGAATTATGTACACATCTTTAAAATAACATTATCTAGTTAGTTAACGAAAAATTTTATTTATTTCAAAGAAACCTATTTTTAAAGCCAATAAATGGCGAAAATTTGACAAAAAAAAAAAAGAGATTTTTTTTTTGCTTACCTTCATGTAAACACGAGATTTATATGTGTACTAAAGGAATATTTTTGATTTTTTAATACTAAATAAACCAATAATAAGTTATGCTGTCCACGGCGAGAGCAATTTTTTTTTTTTTTTTTTTTTTTTTTTTTTTTTTTTTTTTTTTTTTTTTTTTTTTTTTTTTTTTTTTTTTTTTTTTTTTTTGTGAGACACCCAGGGAATTGAGGTCCCAACGGCTGAATTTTCAACATTTTTATAACAAAATTTCAGGAGGATTGTTCAAATATGTACCCTTGATATGTCATATTATAGTTTTAAAATGTATGATTGCTTATATTCAAAAAACAAGAACAAAAAAAAAAAAACTTTTTGTACCTCTGAAACCCACCCAACCCCGTAAGCGTTTTTGCCACGCTCCATATGAGGCCAACACCCGTAGCCAGCCGGTGTCTGGTTATGAAAAATTTCATTGTACATAAATCTCGATCATTGCAAAGAACACCCTCATTAAAGCGCTGTCAACGTTTGGTCGCCTATTTTAATAAATGCACAGGAATATATTTTCTAAAAAAAATTTTCCATTCTAATAAACATGCCTACATATTTGATTATGATTATGAGTGCAACACCCGAACGATTGTCTTGAACAGTGAAAGAAAATCGTAAAAGTCGGTCCAAAAAAATGACCTACTGCTGAATGTTTCTGTGTTCGTCGCTAGGCTGAAAATGTGTTTATCTAATCACGCTGTCAATATTTTTCAAGCTAGATCTTAATTTTCGGTAAGCCTAAGTGCAAAGTACACAGGTGTGTACTTTTCTGCAGCCGCCTGCGCAAATATCGCAAATAAAAGCTTCAAATTTTAAGCAAAAAAGATAAACAAGGCTATAATATTGTATAAAATGAACGCAGAAAAACTGCCGTGGCTGACAGTTGTCGATATTGACTAATGGCAGACGTACCACTAAGAAGCTGAGTGCAGATTCGAATATATTTTTTGTCGTTTAAGCTGCGGGTTTCGAGTGTTTGTGAAACTTTTTCACTTTTTAAATAAAAATAATAATTGATAACAAGACAAATGTCCAGCTCAAAGGAATTATCGATTTGGAGCAAACGCTATCGGCGACAAATACTTGTTACCATTGTGGGTGAGTACAAACTGCATCCTGGCGCAGTGGTGAAGAAGTGTAGTGACTGGTGTGTGTATCGTTTTTCAAAGGTAGTGAAACGCGGCTTCTGGGTTCAACTTCCCAAATTTGATTGATATATATATATATATATATGGTGCGCGTTTCTGATGTCTTGGGTATTGTCGCGATCATGCTTAAAAATGCAGATCTTGTTCTTCGCTTCAATGTCAAAAGAGTGAATGTGGCTTGACATGGGCCACTAGTGCACATATGAAAGGAAACACGATATGAATTTATGTTATTTTCTAATAAACGAAATGTTCAAAAAGTTCCTTTGCTACACCTGTGATATTTGATGTGTGTTTTCTCAGTAAACTTTAATTTACGGTCACCCAATTTTTTCACAGTCATCTCCCACTTCAATTCTTATATGACCTGTACTGAATTTATCGCACTACTTACGAAAACTCGCAATTTCATCTATTTTAAGAACTTAAGAACTCTTGAATTTTATTTAAGGAATCAAGGTGAATTTTTCTTTTCGGGACTTGGATATAAATGACAACTCTTCCTTAACTTCCTCTTAATATTATGCTTATCGTAGAAGTGGTATAGTTTATTCAAACGCAGCCGAAGTAAAAAATGTTAAAAGCTCTTATTTTTGCTGTAACTGTTGCATTGTTAAATATTTTTAAATATCCAACAATAATTTCATAATCTAACATTCCAGCTCACATTATAACCTTTACTCATGGCATCAGTTTGGGTTGGCTTTCGCCTATTATACAAGTGCTACAATCGGCCGAATCACCACTCAATTTTACGATTACCACCGATGAAGTGTCCTGGATCGGTTCCCTTTTTGGTATCGGCTTTCTGGTGGGAAATATTTTCTTTGGATTCACGCTGGATCGGTTGGGAAGAAAACTCAACATGTACTTGATGGCTATACCACACATGGTAAGTGCGATTGAATTTTTGGTCATGGATGAAATAAGAGTCAATGTAATATAGTCAATACCTATTAATGAGAATCTAATATAATACAAACAGCTTTTCTGGATTCTAAGCTATACGGCACAGAACATCAATTATCTATATGCTGGACGTTTCTTTGCTGGCTTCACAAGCAGCGGCATGTATGTGATCATACCCATCTTCATCAGCGAGTTATCAGACAAAGAGTAAGTATGTGTGGGGGGAAGAACTGGATATCTATTTATGTATATATATTCATACAAAAACTCAACCATAACTAAGCGATTTGTGCAATTAGCGACTAACCGCATTTATATATTTGTGTTACAAAATTTGTCCCCAAAATCTTAAAAATAACTTTTACTATCAAAAACCATAAACGACGAATCATAAAAACATAGAAAAAAAGCAAAAATCAAAAAACAAACATATATCTATATATGAGATTGTATATTTATCTACATAAATATCTATGCGCGTGTGTTAACTTGTGA